TAATTATTGGTACTAGACTGCGCATGGCGAGCAAGAACCTAAAGTTTAGTTTGATCAAAGAGGTGTCTCGACAAGTTATGTCCTTCATGCGTAAGAAATGGATCCTGACACTTATAAAGAAATGGTTCATTATTCTCAGACAGCTCAATTTGTTGGGTGGTTCAACACGAGGCAGAACACCGAATAACGAATCACAACAATTTTATTACTTATTGAACGCTGCACAAATACATACAGAGTTATCAGCGGCGCCAAGAATGTTGACCATAAAATCAAATTTTAACATGCCCAGAGAAGCATTGAATCAGATAGCAAATTTATTGAAAGAGACCAATCATGTAGGGAATTTAGTGCTGAATGACATGTACATAACGAAAAATTTGGTTTCAAAGTTAGGTTTATGATGTGAGAAGATATATTGTCGTGTTAATGGGTGCATGATATGTTACAAGGCCGATGCAATCGAGACAACTTGCCAATTATGTGGTGCAGATCGATTCAAACAAAGGAATAGAAAAAATAAAAATAAAAAAATACTTGATACAAATGACTATTTTATTTTCTGCTCCTACCATGGCTTCAGAGATTATTAGCTTCCATGCATACAATCTCATACATGACTTGGCATAGTACTGGATCTGTTGATGCCAACTCGATGAGTCATCCGTCACATGGTGAGACTCGGAGACATTTTGACCGTATTTACCTGGATTTTGCAGTTGAAGTGTGCAATGTTAAACTTGGGTTATGTGTGGATGACTGTTCTCTCGGTTCTTTTTATAATTTGGAGTCGCCAGCTTGTTTTCTTATATGCTGCTGTCGTATACTTTCCTTATTCGAATAAATCTTATTCATAAATCATATCGATGATTCGAAGAAGAGAAGAATAAAAAAATGATATGTGACAACAAATATGCAAACAAATAAGAAGAAACAAGCGAAAGACTTATATATGGGTAATCCTTGTGTAATGGATCGAAATTATACATCCGAACAAGATTGGATTGAAGTATCATGAATCACAACATCCACAAAGAGAATCCCTTCATAAGCTACATGTAGACAAATAACCAAAAAGAATATTTTTGTCCTGGGGGTCAAGAGTCTTTTAGAGGAACATATCCCTTTAGTTAATTACATCCTGAGGAATACTCAAGAATGCTCTCATAAAACGAGTTTCACTTATATTATTATGAACCTGGAGAATAGGCCAGTAAAGGATGGTTATTTCATATGGGAACGACTGATGCTTTAAAGATCACTTCAAGTCACATGACAGAGAGTGAGCCTCTCACATCCCAAATGGGTAGTGACTCATAGACATACGAAGCCTACAAAATAACCAACATAATCTCAATGGGGATATCCCTATATGTTAGAGTTGAGCAGGTCATAAAGGCAAAGGTGGTTCACTGTATCCCAAACAGGTGGCACATCATCATTAATTGGGTTGTCATGATGATATCGGCGAAGGTAAAAGAGTGACAGGGCTCAAAGGAGCTCAACAACAGAAAGGGTAGAGTGGTCATAAGCATGTAGAGGTAGCTGAGTTGGGGTATCATATACCTATCATCCAAAGCTACTAGGACCTTAAGTTTACCTAGTCATGAAGGTAGTTGATCCAACACGTTCAAAGATCCCCAGTCAATAATCCGTGAATTGCATCGTCCATGGGGAACCTTAATAGGCCTAAGTCAAAAGAAGAAAAGTCTAGTCCTATGACCTACAAGGTAGAGCTCAAGTGTGGGACTCACACTTGCCGCACAGATGTCGGAGTTGCCCCGGGAAAGAAAGAAAAGAGGAGGTCCAACTACAAAACCGAAAACACTCTTCACAAAAGGGCTTACACATCGTCTGAGTGGGGCAGCCTCTAACACCCTAAACTCACTAGATAACCACTTAAGTAGAAATCTATGTTGTGCTAGTCGGGTTGAAAAAACTTGGGGGCCTCTCATTGGGACATGCAAATATGAATCTACCACACTTCTAACCGTGGAGGCCCTATTATATGACTTGGGATATATCCATGCATGCATGCCATTTAAAATCCATCCCAAATGCCATGCAGGAAAGAAAGTGTGAATTCTAAAGTCTTGAATATATTAATCCTATAATTTTCATTATCTTGAATATTTTATTAGAATTTTGTCGCAAATTTAGATTTTTAAATCCTAAATAGTCTATATTGCATTCGTGATTTCTAGACAAACTACATAATGGAATTCTTTTGAAGCATTCAAGCATGTGATAAAACAAGCCATATAAAATAATAAAAAAAAGGCTTGTGTCACTGAGTCAACACTATATCCTAGAAAAGAAAAAATGGAGTGGGTCAAACTTTGCATATATGTGTCGGATCCTGATTCTATACATTAATATCAAATGTAGAATTCAGGTAAGAGACACGAACTGCCCCTCTTGGTTCCTCGCCACGTGGTTTCCGCACCAACATGCTCTTGAACTGTGACCGTATCTTATTTCTGTTATAAGACTCTCCTAAGGACTCTAAAAGATACATAGGAAAATAAAAAAAGGATTGGACCTGTATGAAAATAAATTTTGCGGGAAAGCCAACAAAACATGCAATGTAAATGAACTGTGTCTTTTATTAGATGAGCTAAATAGCACCTGCAAGCAAATGATTAGTAGAAATCTTCACATGCTCCCTCTTTTAATAGTATTTGTGTTTGTGCATATATATAGGTACGACTCCCTACAAAAGAACACCTTAATATACTATCATGCGGATTAAGTAGGCAAGAACACTAAAAAGCACAAAAGTAACCCTTGGCTAGCACAAGCACATCAACAAAGAATGATAGCCAAATGCGACGAAAAGATTATCTAGCATCCTAAATCCCAACCTAACACACAATCTAATGAAAAATATCATAACTAACATCTAAGTGCTCTGGGTAAAGTCTTTAGTTAAAGTATACCTTGATGGGTTGTCACAGTGGCTCCGTCCAAAAGATTCAAGGGATCTAAAGCACGTCGCAAGAAAATAGACGACATTTTAAAAGAGGCATCCTCACATATGACTTAACATATATAATTTTAAAATAGGTGGATAATACTTATACTAGCAAAAATATCTATTTTTTATATTTTAAAATAACATACGAGCAATCAAGTGATATGCTTTAGAGTCCTATGACCTATAGCACATTCATACTATTTATTGCTCGTGAAATAGAAACTCGTGTTGCTTGCCGATGCATCCTTGCGAGTAATGCTCGTTTGAGTATCACGACCAACTAACGAGTAACGAGTCACTTGCCTAAAGAGTGAACAAGACAACAAGAAGAATGAGCAAGCATACAAACATGCAAAAGACCCATATTGTGATTATGTGACCGAAGCACAAAATAATCACAACAAGCTATCTCCATAAAAGGGTCGACACCGGGCACCGAAGGGTGGCGGCCATCTGCAGGGGGCGGCGGTCTATGGCAGTGGCGAGCGGTGGTGATCGGGCAGCGATAGACGACAATGGCGAGTAGCGGTTAACTACAGTGGCGAGGGGCGAGAGGCAATGGTGGGCAATCTGAGATGGGTGGTGGGCGGGGTCGGCGGGGGGGTGGTCAATGGTGGGCAGCCGACGACGGTGACATACGGTGGCGGTGGTCGGCGATGGTAGTGGTCAGTGGCGGTGACAGAGCGACGACTGGTGCCAGTGGCGGCGTTTAGTGAGTGGCATGAGGACTCATAGTTTTGAGTGTTTGAAAAAGAGGCAAAATCATATTTTTTCTGTTTTGAGTATTTTAAAAACAGAAGTATTTTTCTAAAAAATAAAAAAAAACAAGTAAACAAACACTATTTTTTCTTTTGTTTCCTTTTTTTTTTCAAAAAAAAAAACAAAAAAACAAAAGCAACAATTGATCCCAAACAACCTTTAATATTTTTATGTGAAAAACTAGGGGGAGAAAACAACAGGCTTGACCCGGACATAATAATGCATTATTCAAGTAAAACCATAGAGTTTCATTATTCCTCCCAGGAGGAGATGAATGGATTACGTATGAACATACTTAAATTTGGTTTTTACAATTGTTATAGAGCTGAAAGTAATAGAGGGATGATAATAGTTGTTAATCGATATTAATTAGTGATAATACTAAACAGAAAATAATAATCTAACAATTACAGTCAAGATAAACAGTGCTAGAATACAAGTGATTGGATTATAAAGCCCAATCGTATTAATTACATTGATAATTATTAGTTTAGATCTTTAGCCTTGGATCAGATTAGTTTTTTATGCTTTTAAATTTGCCTTGTCAATACATTCAATTTGATTACAAATTCATTAAAGTTACGCTGAATGATTTTGAATTTAATTTTGAAAATTTTACATTAGAAAAATGTTTCAACAAACGTGCTTGATTAGAAAGGTCTACTATTGACATAGAAGTGCTATTATATATTATTTTTAAAAAAAATATGTAACAAATACATATTCTCACATAAGTAAGATTGATAAATGAAACAGAAATTCTAATAATTCATATACTAAAAGTATTTAGATTTTAATTTAAATTTATTGACTGATCAAATATAGAATGTATTATTTTAATTTGATTTAAATGATAAAAAGATGTGGAATTTCTTTTAATTTTTTTTTTGTATGAATATTTTATCAAAATAAAGCATTTAAATTAATCACTTTTTTTTTTGTATGAATATTTTATCAAAATAAAGCATTTAAATTAATCACTTTACTTCTAAAATAAAAATGATTAACTTAATTTTAATTTTTACATGTATGCCATTACTGTAAAAATGTGTCTTAATTTTAATTTTTACATGTATGCCATTACTGTAAAAATGTGTATTTTACGTTTCTAAAGGCAAAATAATGATATTTTTAAATGTATTAGTGTAAAAGCATAGGAATTGAGTGGTATGTATGTAAATGCCCGAAATATATATATAAGAAATAAGGAAATTTTGGAGGAAGTTTTAGTAATTTTACGCTAGACGACTAAACTGCGAGAGTGCCGGCTACATGCTCCATAAATTAGAGCTACTGCGGATGGGATTGATGGTCGCCGAAGCCACACGCTCAATTTCAACTTTGTCAATTGGGCGACGATCTCAAGCGCCGGTGAAAGAGGTAAAGTGTCACCTTCTTCCGGAAAAAAATTTCTATAATTTCTGCTAAAAATTTAAATTTTATGGTTGCTATGATGACTGCTTTGGTCTGGAGTGCTGCATTCCAGGTCTAGAAATGGATGGAGAGCAGAAATTGTTTCACTTTGATGATGTCTCCAAGCACAGCGCCACCAAGGATTGCTGGCTCATTATCGATGGAAAGGTCGATATTTTTTCTTTGGAAATCTGATATTTGGATCCCGTTCTTGGTTTTGCTTGGATTTTTGTAGGCTAAATTAAAGTATTTTTTCCTTAAATATCTTGACTTTATTTCCTAAATCTGAGAAGGACATGAAAGAAGCTAATTCATATACTGGTAAAGAGCTATCTATGTCGGCACATTTGTTAATTACATGCGATTTTCCAAAGCAGTTACTTCCGATCTGAAATAGGAATGATGTTTGGTTTAGATAAGGAGGAGATTGTTGGGAAATAAACACTTTACATGTTATAGAGAGCGTTAAAGCAATTATTATGTATATAGTTAGCTATTATGACTCAAAAAGGGAATATCTTGTTTCAAAGGGAGATATATGGAGGAGGTGGGTGCTGGAGGATTCTAAACGATAGTCTTAATTTAGAGCCAATAGATATTAGCTTTCTTCATATTAGATGTTTTTGTCCGGGGCATATTTGTATCAGCTAGAAATTTAGGGTTTCAAACTAAGACAGCTGATGTAGCTTTGTTTCAGTTTATGTTAGATAGGTTATTGAAATTTGTTTAGTCACGAGTGCAAATAGATTGTGTATAGTTCAAGCATGGTTATAACTCAGTTAAAGTTCTCATTTGAAGTTCTGGTGCATATTTGGTTTGGTTTTCCTGCAAAGGAAATCACTCTCTAAACATGTTCTCTTCCATGCATCTTCCATTTATTATCCCAAAAGTACTTAGTGTTCATATCATTTCAATGTTCTCATTGACACTATCGACCTTGAAGGAAAACATAAAATGGATTTAAAGGAGACCCTATAGGTTCTCTTGCACCGTAGCTCATATTACTTGTTAGTCATAATGATGACTTAGTGCACCATCCGGGCAAGGGCTCCAACTCTACAGGATTGACTTTTTTAACCCAAAATTAGTTTAGAGAGCTATAGGAAATGATCTATTTCTTGATACAAGCTTTGATGCATGCCACTCTTGTTACAAATGTTAATACGCAATTTTTGGCTTTGGTGAACCTACAATCCCGTCTACATCTTATTGGTAGAATTAGCCCGTAGCTTGTGGTGTTCTTGATGAGCTTCAGTTTATAATTCCTTGATTATTTCTCTCCTCTTTCACCTTCTATATGGTGATCTTAGAAGAGCCAATTATGTCGAAGTTCAAGGCTACAGCTCTAGACTACAATAAGATGACAAATGTTCTTATTAAGCACATAATGGATAATTATACATCATGCCCTTGATCGTTTCCTCCAATTTTGTTTGTTTCAAGTTTTCCTGATGACTCTTAAAGACTCAGTGCACTAGTGGTTCTCTCATCTTTCTATTTGTAGCATCCACCACTTCGATGAGCTATCTCTATAATTTATCGCCTAATTCTTTTCCTCTCAGAGGTTCTGGAAGATATGTTATGCTCTACTTAGCTTCAAATAGAAGGAGATGGAATCCTTTTAAGACTACATCGCCTGATTCACTAGGTCCACCCATGAATTTATCTTCTTTAGTTATGCCATCAACCGGACTAAGGAAATCCCCCATCAAGTTTGCCATAACTAAGAATCCACCAGACTCTAATAGATCTGTGCTAAAAGGTATCAAAGTTTATCAACGTCATGGTGATTTTCATGCCCCCTTTCTTTTCTTTCCTTTTTGAACTAGTTTAAGGTAAGTGAAAAGTATGGTTATTTGATGGATTAAAGTATGTTGATCAGCCCCGTTAAGGCTGCCAAACATTGGCCATCTTTGCAACCACCTTTTTGTGATAGCCATGGTGATTGCACCTCTTGCGAAAATGTGATTATTGTTTCAGCCAATACTTTGAGGCAACTAGTTCATCATGATTATTGTCCTCTCCGGGATCTTCATAGCATTTCAGATTATAAATTCAAATCTATCCTAGTTCAACTTTGTTAGCATTATTCTATTTAAGAACTTGCTAAATTTGGAATCATGAACTTATTTTATTAAAAACATATTATAATTTAACCTTGCTAACATTTTTCTATCAAGGATTATCAAAGCTCAGCATCATTCTACCCAATAATTACTGAATTCAGCATTACAAACATTATGCTAGCAGATGATTAACGGATTTTATTTCATTAACAAAAATTTTATTCCTTGATGTCATACATCTTTAAATTTATACTCGATTTAGATTTTTTCCTCACAAAAGCTTGGCGCCGGTAAAAGTTAAATCAATATGAATCTTAGTATGTATGAAAAAGTTGTTGTTTTGCTCCTCTAGCAATTAAGATGCAAATGTATAGGAAGGTTGTGTATGTGTATTAGATTGTACATCCAAAGGCTGGGATAGCCATTTTGCTACCTCTCTGTGTCATTATTAAGTATTCCATATGGGGGTGAATACAGGGAATTCTTCCACCATTATTATTGGTAAATTTGCATGCATAACACACAATTCTTTTGTATTTACATTTCTAATACCTAAGCTTTGATATTTACATTTGTAACATTTTGATTTTATAACGTATGCATGAAAATGTGCATTTCACTTTATAAAGGTCAGTTATAGTGATATGCTATATATATATATATGCTATATATATATATATATATATATAGATTTTTGGTGGGGAAATATATTGAGCCCAGGTAAATTTTAATCATGCCAAAATTGTTGGAACTTAATCAAGATTTGTTTTAAAATAAATCTTTTTTAAATTGATTTCAAAACAAAATTACAGGAGAAAAAAATTTAGTGAATAAAGAACATTAAACTATCTTCCTTTTAGTGATTAGATTATCAATATGTTATTATAAATGGATCACCTATGTGCGACATTTTAAATCAATTCTTTACGATCGCCAATCCTAAAGGAATAAACATCATACTCGCTTATAAAGCATCTTGACTTAAAAATTGTAAGAGACCTCCTAAAAGATACGGGCTTAAAGCTAATCCCTGATGTAATCCAATTGAAATAAGAAAGTATTGGGTTAATCCCCCTTCTATCTGAACACAAGTGATAACAACAAGATTAAAATAGTTCTAAAGATTAAAAATGTTGATATGACTTATATTCATGTCAATTCTTTTATTGAATTTTCATCGCCCACAAATTTAGAAATAAGATCATTAGAAAATAAAAGAATTATTTTTATTTATTAGTTGATTGTATCTATTTCATATCGCATTGTCATGAAAATTCTTATAAGAGGAAGGTAAAGAACATGATAACAACAAATCATGATCTTCATTATGGACAATGACATTATTTTTTCTCAAATATTGATCAATGAAATTAAAAGCATCGAGATTTGATTTATTAGTGACTTCAGTAAATACAACCTATGTTGTTAATTAAGTTTGTTTGAGAGGCTTGTGGTTATTGCAGGAATAGTCATGCTTGAGGCCTAGATCCTCAACAATTGTTTCTTTTACAACATCCATCAGGATCTCGTCTGCCAAATATATATGGATTGTCAAGGAAAATTTTTAATCTTTCTTTGCTTTGCATTTTTACTCATCATATCAAGCATATCTACGTGTCCCATGAGTGCCTCCACAATTCCTTCCTAGACTAGAATAGACCACATATCTTGGTTCTCTGGAATCTCAACATTCTTTTAGCCTTTAAATTAATTTCTTAATCTCAAACTTTATGGTCATAGTATTCATTATATAACCCCACTCTGAAACTAGTTGTTAGGAAAAGCATGATGAACTAAAAAATATACACAAAAGAGATCAAGCACTAGAGAATAGGCACTAAAATTTATGTAGTTTAGCCTAAGCAAACCTACACAGCCACACATTATCATGGTGATTTTAACTAAATGAAAAGTGAAGTACAATAAGATTTATCTTATGATTTCCTCTATTTCTATTTTTCTAACTCTCCTCTCTCAAATGCCCAAAATGTCAATGCAAATTAATGACCCAACCGCTGAAGAAAATTTACATTCACGTTGTTGGCCTCTTTAAGGCTTGTTTGATAAAATGTGCCAAAAATTTCAAGAGCTCAGAAGAAAGAGGAAGAAAGTGAATATTTGCACTTCTTTTTTGACATTTTTTTAGTTCCTTCATTTTTGAATTTGTACAATGTAAATTAACTTGCTGACATGCACATAGCATTTTAGAATCTGAGAACTTGAGGCATTGAACGCTAGTTTAGTAATCATGACTTAACCACAGTTGGTTTGAAGACTTGGATGCGTGTTCCCAGACCCCAAGCATCGCTCTTTCCCAACAGAATAATAAGCACTTCCTACTCTTATGCCCGCACTGGTCAGAAATGCATGTCGAAATACTAATTTTTCCCCTTCTTTTTTGCTTTATTCTTTCTCTTCAGGTTTATGATGTGACTCCATTTATGGATGAGCATCCTGGTGGTGATGAAGTCCTGTTAGCAGCTACTAGTAAGAGCCCCATGAATTTTACTTATTTTATTAAGCATTTTAACCCTGAACCTTTTTTTTTTTTTAATTTCGTGCGAAAGTTTTCATCAATAATTTGCGTTATTAATCTAAACAGTGTTCTAAGTTTAAGATCTAATTTAAGTTGTAACACAAACTTTTGCTATTACCTAGTATTCTAGCATGCATTCTAAAGATAGGACATTTACATGCATACCCAATTCATATGCATTTACAGATCTAACATCTAAATGTTATTTTTTATATTTATACCATACTAAATCTTTCATATCACATAAAAAATACTACTATTTTAGCTTTTAAAAAGTGAAATAGATCCTTTAATACACACTTAAGGCGGCATATATGTAAAAATTGAAGTTTAGGTGTTAGATATATAAATATATAGGGATTGAGTGGCATCTATGTAAATCTTCCTATAAAGATTCGTACAATACTTCTTGTTTCTAATGATTTCTATGATGAACCAGATCCAACATCTTGGCATTCATAGGAGCAAACTAAAATCCAATCCAACCATAAATCTACCATATAGATTAACATGTAATCCATGCATGAAAGATTATAGGGGAATTTACCTACATACAACCCAATTCTTATGTATTTACATATCTTTTAACTGTTATACCACCCAAATCTTTCATATAACATAAAAAATATTACCATTTTAACTTTCAAAAAGCGGAGCACACATTTTCATGCATAGGGAAGGTGGCATGTATGTAAAATTGAAGTTTAGGTGTTAGATATGCAATTAATTATATCAAACTTGAATGGTATGTATGTCAATCTTCCATGATTATAATTCATGCATGAAATCTTAATTTGGGATTATTTTGCAGGGAAAGATGCAACCAATGATTTTGAAGATGTGGGTCACAGTGACTCCGCAAGAGATATGATGGACAAATATTGCATAGGAAAGATCGACGCCTCAACGATTCCGGTGAAGCACTCCTTTGCACTGCCGGAGCAACCTCCCTACAATCCCGACAAGACCTCGGACTTTGTCATCAAGATACTGCAGTTCCTGGTGCCTATCTTGATACTTGGCCTTGCCCTTGCTGTCAGATACTACACCAAAGCTGAGTGAAGCTTTGCAAGAGGAGAAGCAGTTTCAGGATTTCAACTAAAACTAGTTGTTTAACTAGATTTTGTCATTGATTTGTGACTGCTTTGAAATAGACTTGATGCGTTAAAAGAATGAATGCTTCTATTTTTTATTACGATAGGAAAGAGCCTTTTAAGGTCTTAAAAATCCAAGGGACATGTTAAATAAATGGATTTAATTTGGCATTCTTATCATTTTTGTAAGGAAATTTACATACATACCATTCATATCTTATGTCATTGCATATCTAACACCAAAGCTTGATATTTACATCATAAGATTTTGATGTGATAGATTTATGCTTGAAAATGTGTAGTTTACTTTTAAAAGACGGTAATGATGGTATTTTTGATGTGATGTTAAAGATTTATGTTTAGATGTTAGATTTGTAAATACATAATAATTGTGTGGTATATATGTAATGTTTTATTTGGCCGTCTATCTTGCCATTGAAATCAATTAATGTATGATAAAATTTATTGACAATATACGTTTTAAATTCTAGGAAGCTGTTCAAATATGTATACCTTTTTCCAATTGTAGTGAGAAGTTTGAATTGGCTTTGTTCTTCTTTGACTTGTATCGAGCTTGATAAAAAATGAGCAATGAATTTTCAACCAGGAAAAATTGAATTCCAACTTATTTTTAAATAATTATTGTATGACTATCTCGTTTTAATTTCCATGCTTAAGTGCAGCTACCCCAGTCATCGTAAAAGCACTTCTTGTGCAGAAGTTTGTTAGGTGAAAATGTGCCAACCACACTAGATTGTTTGGTATGTAAGTTATAGTTGAATCATATGGTCGCCACTTCTGACTTTTTTTATTGAGAGAGCGAGAATTTAGTTGTGTTGACCAAAGAGAGTTGATTCAATTTTGCTACTCTAAATTTCTAGTTTAGTGAGACTTGGTAATGCTACTCAGGCAACTAGACTCAAGGGTTTGATTGTGCATTACACTTCTGATTCTCATGTCTCTTTAGTATGGTTGCGAAGATTTGGTGAAATGAAGATCCTTCTCATGTCTCTTTTATAAGAGAAAATTTTCCATGCGGAGTCCGGATATAGCTCTGCGTGCGGACTTCAATAATATACCGTCACGTGTGATACACCATACACACTTAAAAAATATTAAAGTGAATCCGCAGAAGTTATTGGAGTAGAACCGTGGAGGTTGTTGGAGTGGAACCGAATATGTTATTGGGAGGGTTATTAGGGGGTTATTGGTGTATTGTTGCGAATATGGAAACTGGTTCACTGTTCAAATTGACATTTCTCATGTTTGACAACAAATTGGATTTGATACTCGAAATTAATTGTTTTTAATTTCTTCTATGAGTTGCTGCATAAGAGAAAATGAAATAATTAATGGATTTCATTAATTATTTGATTAATTATTTAATGAGTCTAATGACATGATGAAATTAATAAACAAACATGCTAGCTCTCCTTATTATCCCTCTTTGTCATTGGTGACTTTCCAGGTTCTTCTTCTGGCATGCTTCGGTTTGAAGCTCTCCGCTAGAGAGAGAGAGAGAGAGAGAGAGAGAGGCATGCTAGCTCCCCTTATTATCCCTCTTTGACATTGGTGACTTTTCAGGTTCTTCTTCTGGCGTGCTTCGGTTTGAAACTCTCCGGTAGAGAGAGAGAGAGAGAGAGAGAAGAAAAGGAGGAGAGGAGAGAGTGTGCTTTTCTGCTTGCGAATTTTTCTCGATCCGATTTTTCGCTTTATTGTCGTCATTTTTCACAACATGTATTAACTCTAATAAAGTTGCAATAACCCCCAATAACCTTCGAAGTTCAACTTGAAAAACCCTTGCAACAATCCACAAATAACCTTCGTAGTTCTACTTCAATAACCCCGCAATAACCCTCAATAACATTTGCGGTTCCACTTCAATAACTTTTGCAATTACCCCCAATAACCTTCGCAATTTTATTTTAATAACCCCTCAATAACATCTGCGATGTAGCACATGTGACGACATATTACTGGAGTCCACACGCAAAGCCTCATTCAATTTCTTTATGAAAAATTTTCTCCTCTTTTATAAGGCTTCAAAGAACTTGTAAAGTGAGAATGACCATTTATTGAGTCCCAAGTTATTATATATCAACACCACACAAGTATACAAACACAAATTTGACAAGACACCATAATATTTACGTATGCATAAATTTTAAAATAATATATACTTACATATAAACTAAATAAGTATGAAATAAATAAAAAGACCCTAATAATATAAGTATGAAAAAATAATGATATTTTAGAAAGAAAAAAAATATAAATGATAATTAAAGGCCTGGTGAGGGTGTACATAAATCAGAGGAAAATTTGCATACATACCTCACAATATTTTATGTATTTACATATCTAATAACTAAAATTTGATTTTTATATTTATAGCACTTCGGATTATGAAAACCAGATGAAACGGCGATGGTAGACGGATAGCGGCCGGAAAGAGTAGACGAGGAAGGTGACTTGGGGATTCTTATGTTCTGTACTTTGTCGATCTTCTTCATATCAAGGTATTAATGGTTCTGATCCGGTTCATTAATTACTCATTGCTGCTATTTTTTATGGGACCCTTCCTATGTATGAATGTCTGTTGGGGAATATGGAAAGTTTTGTTGCAAGCCAAAGCTCCTCTAGCATTCCTTTTGATCTTGCCATTTTCTGCGGCTGATGAACTGCGTGGGATGCTTTTCATTGTATTCTCTGAAGAGAAAGGATGTGGAGATGACAAGGTAGAAACTCTTATTACCTTTTCATTGTTTATGCGGCTCTGGATACATTTTGAAATTTACAGGGAAATGTGAAGAAAGGAAATATTTATAAAGTATTTAGATCAATACTTTCTTGATTCTAATTGCCTTCCTAAACATTAAATTTGAGTCATGGAGTATCCATATGGGGCTGCCTTTCCATGTTGGTATAATGGGCCGACTTGATTTGTTCTTGAGGCTTTTGATCCGTGTGTGCCAAGCTAGACGGCCTGGATGCCTTGCTGCCGCCACTTAGCAAATTTTCTTTTGCATTTGTTTTATCCTGCTTCTACAAGATGGTGCTCGGAAAGTGGAGTCCAATCTTGGCCATCAGGAGAAGAAATTGTTGGTTTGGTGGCCATTTAGTTTGTAGAAGAGGAATGAGTCACTAGAGGGTGGCATCGTGGCATGTTAAACTTTTTCACTATACGGGAGTGAAATACAAGATTGGAACATAACTTCGTGTCACCAACACTATCTTAATAGATTAGTTATTGTTGGGTAGATAAAAAACTAGTCACTAAGTAGATAGGAGAACCAACAAAAGCTCATTTGAGTTGTTGCCAAAAGAAAAATGATACTTAACATCAATAGACGAGGAACCACAACACATCACTCTTTAGAGCTCCATGAAATAAGACCACAACTAAGGTAAATAAAATAAATATTGGTGAAGGTGAAATCTATATCATACATTTTCTAATACACACCAAAGAACACATGAATGGTAAAGAAAGAGTGGCAATATAGGACAATGGCATGATTTCGGGTCCCACATAAATAGCATAGACGTATTTTAAAGGTATTCAAATGGTCATTGATAGGTTGGTGCATGAACCGAGCCAACTTATTTATCGTTTAAGAGAGTATTGGTGGCTGCCAGTAATGATGTAGTTCTTAGAGGTATCAAAGAGCATCATGTCAGATTGAAGATAAGTATATGAGTAATGCTAAGAGGGTTAACAAGGGATTTTTGCATTGTTATGCATGCTCGAGTTAGCAAATTGTTTGTGTAATGGCATTATGATAGAAATAAGCCTTAAGAGCTGGGAATGACTACAACTTTTTGAAAGTAAGCCATTTGTCTAAATCCTTGAGGCGGAATCTATAAAGAAGGATTTAGATTACAACTTTGTCATGATTGCGTGCGATTACAATATTGTCAACATAAAACAGAAGATAAACAATTGTTGTTGAAGATAAATAGAACGTGACTGTCTTAGAGTTGGTGAAACCCGAGGTAACCTAAGCTTAAGGAGTTTTCTTATGATAAGGATGATTGTGATCAAGGAATCTCCGGGGTTTCATGATGAATACATCCTCATAAAGGATACAACGGAGAAAAATATTATTTATATCTAGTTACCGAAAAGTTCAATCATGACCAACATCAAAACTAAGAATAAATTTAATAGTGATGGGATTGACTGCTGGACTGAACGAATTATGATTGTCAATTCTTTGGCTCATATGAAATCTACTTACAATTAGGTAAGTCTTGTACCTGTCACTTGATCCTTCAATTAAACCTTAATATGCAAAAGGAACATTTAGTCGATAAGATTTTGCATTGGATTGCTGAAATTAATCTCATGTTCCATTCTGAACAAGAGCATCACACTTTTTGGCGTTTTCTTGATGCGCATGGGTCCTTGATGGCCAAGTCCCAAGTTTGGAAAGTTCACTGAAGGTAGTAAATCGCATGGCAATGTTCTTTTTAGCAATTAGCATTTGGATATTCTTTTTGGATATGGTGACAATTATCAAAGGTGGAGAGGCATCAAAGGTTGAGGTAGCAATTTTTTTTCTTAACAATTGAAGGGATTTTAGTTATAGGTGGTGGAGGGGAGTGAGACAGAATGATATCGGTGTTTGGGGTAGGGTCATGAATAAAGGATAGCATAAGTTTGGTTGTAGTGGAGAGGGGATGCACATTTTGAGACCAATAAGGAATGTAGGTAGTGGGTGTATTGTGGATGATCCACATGTGATTGAAAAGAGACGCAGAGGGATACTAATGAGATTGTATAAGAGGAAGGACAGTTTGATATATCATGATGGATAAATATGAGGGGTGGATCCAAAATACAAGTAGGCGCTTCAAGTGGAAGAATATTCTAGAAAGACTTAACTTTTTAAATGGGGTTCATGTTTGTGTGAGTAATAGGGCCTGATCTATGTATAAAACAAATAAATAAAGGAGGAGGGGGGCGTTCTTCATTGTTAAGATGAACGACAATGGTGAATGCAAAGGACTGATAAGGTAAAAGCTTGAATGCATGGGATAAAAGAGATATGTTGCTAAGATAAGCAAATTGTATGCCATAATTGAGTAAAACTTGATATGGTTAGGATAACTAGTTTTATTTAGAGGAATATTGTAGAAGTTTTATCAGTGTAGAAATAAATTATACACTAATAGGGGGACTTGGTGACGGAACGAGGAGATAGAAAAGGGTTATTAAGAAATTTAATAATTTTAAGAAGTGGTAAAATCGAACTTCACTAATGTTCATAATGATTATAAGAAAACTATAAGTCTTTCAAAAGTACAAGCTTGAATAATAACTTCATATCACTAACATTAAACTTAATAAATCATTGATTGTTGGGTAGATCAAAATCTAGTTCACTAAGAAGATAAGAGATCCAACGAAAACTCATTCGTAGTTGTTGCCAAAAAAAAAAAAAAGATACTCAACATCAATGGATGAGTGACCACAATGCGTCGCTTGTTAGAGCTCTATGAAATAAGACTGAAGCCAAGGTAAATAAGATAAATATTGGTGAAGGCAAATACTTTATCATACATAATATACATCAAAGAACACGTGAATGGTGAAGAAAGAATGACAATATAGAACAAGGCCATGATCTGGGATCCCACATAAATAGCATAGACATATTTAAAGGTAGTCAAATGATCATTGATACGGTTGGTGCATGAACTGAGCCAACTATTTATCGTTTAAGCAAGTATTGGAGGCTGCCAATAATGATGTAGTTCTTAGAGGGATCAAAGAGCACCGTGCCATATTGAAGATAAATATAGTAGTTCTAAGGGGTTTAGCAAGTGATTTTTGCATATGTCATGCATGCTCGTATAAGCAAATGTTTTGTGTGTTAACATTGAAATAGAAATTTGCCTTAATGACTTTGATATTTTTAAAGTATGCCAATTGTCTAAATCCTTGGGGGAGAACCTATGAGCATGAATTTAGATTAACTAACTTTTTTATGACCTCATCATGATTGCTTGCAATAATAATTTTGTCAGCATGGAACAAAAGATAAACGATTGTTGTTGAAGAGAAATAGAGAGATGACTGCCTTAGCGTTGGTGAAACTCGAGGTAACCTAAGTGCAAGGAGTTCGCTTAAGATGAGGGTAATTGTGATCATGGAATCTTTGGGGTTGCATCATGAATACATCCTCATAAAGGATACCCTAGAGAAACATATTGTTGATATCTAATTGTCGAACAGTTCAATCATGACTAGCATCATTACTAAAAATGTGTTTGATAGTGATGGGATTGACTACTGGACTGAAAGTGTTATGATAGTCAACTCTAAGACTCATATGAAATCTACTTGCAGTAGATAAGCCTTGTACATGTCAATTGATTCTTCAGTTAAATCTTATTATAGAAAATCAACTTGAAGTTGATAAGATTTTGCATTGGATTGATGGAATTAGTCTCATGTTCCATTTTGAACAAGAGCATCATTCTTTTCTGATACTTTTCTTGATGTCGCATGGGGTCTTGATGGCCAAGTCCCAAAGTTGGGAAAGATTATTGAAGGTGGTAAATTGGGTGGCAAGTTTTGTTTTAGCGATTAACATGTGGATATTGCTTTTGGATATGGTGATAATAACCAAAGGATGAGAGGCATCAAAGGTGGAGGGAGGAACTTTTTTTTTAGCAATTGGAGGGATTTGAGTTATAGATAGTAGAGGGGAGGGAGACATAATGGCATTGGTATTTGGGCTAGGGTCAGAAATACATGATAGGATAAGTTTGGTTGTAGTGGAGGGGGATGCACATTATGGGACTAATAAGGATGTCATTAGTGGCTATATTGTAGATGTTGTGCATGTGATAGAAAAGAGAGATAGTGGGACAACAATGAGACTTTATTAGAGTAAGGGCGGTTTTTTTGAGATTGAAGACTAGTGCAAGGAAAATGAATTCTACAAATTTGATATATCATGATAGATAAATATGAGAGGTGGGTCCAAGACCCAAGTGGGTGTTTCAAGTGGAAGAATAATCTAGAATGACGTAAGTTGTGAAATGGGGTTTATGTTTGTCTAAGAAATAGGGCCTGATCTATGTATAAAACAAACAACTAAAACTATGAAGTTTGGAGTCATTCAAAGGGAGATTTGACATTAGGGAAACAAAATTTTACGTAATAAGATAAAAGTAGGTTGCCAAGGTAAGCAAATTGTAATGTCATAATTAAGTAAAAATTTATGTGGGTAAGACGACTAGTTTCATTTAGAGGATTACTATAGAAATTCTACAAGAGTGTAGAAATAAATTGTACACTAATAGGGAGACAGCGGTGGAGTGAGGAGGTAGAAAAAGAGTTATTAAGAAATAAAATAATTTTATAAAGTGGTAAATTGAACATCACTAATGTTCATAATGATTATAAGAAAGCTATAAACCTTGCAAAAGTAGTGAGAAAAATAAACGTTATTTTTTATGATTTATATGATATACATGATTTTAAGAAGCTGAAAATAATATATATAGAATATCTGAAGATATATAAGAACTATGGATTTTGATTAAGTTAGATGCATTGAAAATGATGGTACTAGGATGTTAGTAAAGATGAAGACATTATGGAACTATGTAAATATTACTTTAAAGGGGCTTTTACATACATATCACCCAATTCCTATGTATTTACATGTCTAACTACTAAATTTTACTTTTTATATTTACACCGCCCGAATATTTCGTATCA